ATATGAATATCTACTTTTGCTGCTGTGAGAAAAATGAGTTTTAGTTAGCTAAGTAATCCACGGAAAATGCCCAGTACAGTGCTGTTTAGCGACTCCTTACGAATGCTAGGTATTACTTACAAGTCCTCACTACTGAGCTAATGCAACTAACCACGACTACTTTGTGCCCTCTAGAAGATGAGAGTCCCATACTGAAAAGTAACCAGTTTATACAGTGATCATACAAGACATTTTATATATATGTATGTATCTACAGTAGTACTGTTTCTATGCATTCCAGACACCTTTTTAAGTATTTACCTTTCTTAAACTAGAATATTTGTGGCAGGAATATATGATGCTCACCAGTTCCAGGCCCATTGCTACCAACTAGTAACAGAAATCAACACAGAGGACTTTCAAGTCTCTAACACAGGAAGCAGATATGTGGTACTAACAGTTGATATGATTACTAAATACAGTAGAACAATGACAGTTGTTACCTAGAGAGAAGGGCAGTAGAGTTCTTTCTACCAAGAATAATATTCAGGCCGGGCATTGGTAGTTCATGCCTTTAATCCCAGCACTTGTGAGGCAGAGGCAAGCGGATCTCAGTGAGTTCGAGGCTAGCCTGATCTACAGAACGCGTTCTAGGACAACCTCCAAAGCAATACAGAGAAACCCTGTCTTGAAAAACCAAAAGCAAAATAATATTCATAAAAACAGGATTTGATGATTTGATGAGTAGTTACCGTACAGCACTTATTTGTAAATGTTAGTTCAACTGTTTGGTTTCCATGGCCATTTTCCCAGCTTTGCTCTGTGCTGCTCCTGCAGAAAGCTAATTTCTCGTATGGATGTAGGCTCCCCTTTCTTCACTGCTGGTTACACAGACTAAAGGAGAGATAGAAGGACACTGGGAGGTGGACAGTCAGTCTGTCTGTCCCATGCCACAGGCTGGCTGGGACAGCTTTCCTCCACTCAGGGTCAGAGCTCAAGTCCTTACTACTTAAGTCCAGTGACTCCTTGGTCATTTCACACTAGTGGGAGGAATGGCACCCTGTGGTATGCTTCGGTTGGGTACTCTTCTCAGTTTCCCTATGTCTAACCATTCCTGGCAAACATCCTCCCTTCAGTGTCCCCATTGAGTGGTACACTGTTTTACAGTTAGGATCCTTAGACAAGCAAGAAGAATGGGTGGGAGAATTGCCTAAGGCTGTCTGATCAGTCAAAACAGAATTTGATTTTGTTGTCAAGGCTTGAAAAGTTCAAAAGGGCTGGATTTTGGTAGGATGCTGGTGAGCCTGGAATGAAGTGTCACATAGGGTTAAGGACTGGGAAACTATGGCATCTATACGCTAATCCAGGTATGATAATGGAAGGGAGTAATGTTTACCTTGTGACTAGAAGTTTTATTGGCTCTAAGAGACACACAAAATTAAAGGACAAAAGGAAAACCTTAAATGGTCCAGCAAAACAAAGGTGGAATCTGAGAGCATGTATCTGCTTTAAATGGACACAGTCTACCTAAGCCTAGAGCAAATAAGGCTGAAGACCAATCCAAAAGGCTAATTTGAAGGGCTGTGCAATTGCGCTGCCATATAAAATGAGCAATGCCTAAACTACTAGTTCTTGGTCATGGAGCAATGACAGGGAAGAGACAATGAATTTATGGGTCAGTTACAGATGTTAGTGACATTATCAGAAAATGGACAGAGTAGGAGTAGGGAATCATGTTATATACCTAGTATTGTTTATTAGGGCAAACCACTGAATAGGTGGGTCTGTGGATGAATGTAGACTTAATTCCATCATAACACCCAAATCCAGTGTCATTCACACTAAAGTCTTTGTCACAGCCACTACCCTCAAGTAGCCAACATGATTTCTTTGTAAAATAGCTCTTAGTCACCAGACATAATTGGAAGCAGTGTGCTTCCAATATTTTCACACTCTTACCTTTGCTCACAATAATAGAGTCTGGGGAAATCTTCATCATCACCTACATGAGAAAAGCTGGGCTGCACATGACACTGCAGCAGCTGGACTTGGTGACCAGGAAGCAGCAAGCATCCAAGATGTGTCTTGAGATAAATGCTAGAGGACAGTGGATAAACTCCCCTAGAATCCATGGACCTTCTGTTCTGGTGAAATATTACGAGCCCAGTGGTCTGGGTTTGCTGAAACAGATCTTCTATGCCATGTGATAAATTTCTGTAACCTGCAATTTTACAACACTTGGTCTCCAGATTTTGGAAGCAGCAGAGGCCACATTGAAGTATGTTGCTTTAACATATGCCCTATGTAATCCTGGCTGCCAGTTTTGAGGGGAGCCTGGGGCAAAGGGTTCCTGTAATATGCCCACAATGAAAGCTACCCTTTAGCCTTAGCTTTTTAAGATCCTGCAAACACAATAATTTCTAGAAAAATTGATGGCAAGGAGAGGTTTGCTGTATGATATCTTTGTCAGGTAGAGTTCAGAGTGCCAAGCTCTAATGGCTTGTCATAAAGATCTTTGACCAAGAGCTATTCTCTATTTAAAAAGCTGAACTCAATTTGCTAGTAGATGCTAATTATGCTGCCCAAATCACATCCTATGAACTAGGAGTTAACTGAAAATAATATAAGAGGAATGTAACAGAATTTCACTGTTATATGAACTTGGACCAAGCATTCCGCGATCCCAAACATGTTTCATGAGCAAGTGGGTCAGGTAACCATGGCAGCTGCTACTAAACAATCTGTCTCCTTCAACCTACATCAATCACCTTGTGCCATGTTATCAATGAACAGCTAGCAGAGAAGGAAATGCTGTGGATCTAGTTTGCTAATCAAGTGCATAACACTCGGTGCTAGCAATGGCAACTGTGTTTTCAAGTCCACTTTAGAGAAGTTAGGCTTGACAGAGTGGAAAACAGATTCCTGGATTTCACCAAGCCCCTTTGATTGTATACTGTGCATGGCAGAAAAGAGCTGGAGGAAATGCCACACAGCATAGGCTTATGGCCAAGAAAACAGAAGATTGGTGATAGGGGCCTGAGGAGAGTGATACAGATATACCTCTCCGAATTGATGCAAAATATGATGATATGGTATCCTATGTTAATCCCTTCTTAAAAGAATCCACTATGGAGAAGGCTCTTTGTGATTTGGACAAATGAAAGCATTAATGGACATCAGTCAAAGTGCTTGCCTTACCACCACAGTGTCTGCTCAATGGATCCATGCTCAAATGATAATAGAAGCAAAGACAGACACTGTGAATTCAGTTAAATGTGCTCCCTACCCCCTGTACCTGATTTAGCTACTACCATTGCTGGGCTCAGAATTTTTCCATATTGAGTCCCTATTATTCCCCAAGTGATCAGTCAGCAAGTGGAGTCAGGTAGGTTATACCGGACTCCTTACAATATGGAAAATGGATACATTTATCCTCATAGGGACTGAAAGATGTTTAAGAAGGATTTGCCATTCCTTCCTAGGCTGGTTCCTGAGTGAATTTAACAGAACACCTTACCAACTACCATGACATGCCTTGTCACAATTGCCTTCAACAGAAACTTATTTAATGGAAAGAAATACAACAAACTCAAACCTATAGAATTCATCCACATTCCTCACATTCCATCATCCATTATCAGATGGCTAAGTGGAGTGGTAAAATGGCCTACCACTGGAAGGTTCCCTGTACGACTGCCATCGAAGAATGGCTTAGTATGTTCTATGGATACAGCACAAGATATCCTTTCCACAGAAAGAACACATGAGTCTGAGAACAAGGAGGTTAGGATGTTTATAATTACTGTATGAAGGCGAGGAAAAAAAGTCACATCCATAAATGCTTATGAGGTACATAGTATAGTCCTCAGTTCAGTAACACTTCAGTTGGTTAGAATATATGTAGGAAGCTGATGGAAATACCTGCATCTTTTAAATATACCTTTCAACTTATGATGCTTTTCATTATAAAATAATATCACTGTAATTGACAACTAGAGTAGCATAATTTTCAAAAAATTTATGACATGTAAATAAATTATGTTTGAATTCAGAAAGTAAAATGTATTCTTAGAATGTTTGGTTTTCATATGCATGCTAATTTAACTTTTATAACTGTCCCAAATTTAATAGTTAAATGTTTAAAATTGCTCTCTATAATTCATATTATCTTAAAAAAATAAGTTCGGCCTTAAAGATAGCAAGAAAATGTAAAGAAGGCTGATAATGCTTAATCATCCCCTCATATTCCATAGCAATCTGAATTACAATCTGTTATGTACAGAATATCACTTTCTAGATCTTCCCATTAAAATTAAAATTTAACATGTCATTATAGACAAAGCATATACAACTGCTTTGAAAGTATTGTATTATAATATTCCACATTTAACTTTTCAGCAACAGCAGTTCATGCTGAAACCAGATGAGATTCATTCAGATTTCTTATTAGTCTTCCTCATTTATGTACTGCTATGCTAGTATTTTCTTAGCATATCAAACACTCTAGACCATTAAATCATTTATGAAGCAGATAAAATGTTCAGATCTTTTCCAATAAGTACAGTTTGAAATCTAGCAAAATAAGGTGAATTAAATGAAATATAAATCCCTCCAACAGCCAATTTTTTAATGTACAGTATTTTCAAGTTTAAAAAGAACAATATTTGATTTCTCACCGAGATCTAAGACGGAGTACTACTGAGCTGTTAAGAAACTCTACAGCTTTTAAGTTTTCTGGAAACTTCAGAAGTAAGTGTGCATTTCACTAGGCTTCAGTAACCCTTAGTTAAACATAATTACCGTTTTGATAATTATAAAACTTAAAAACTAAGGAAAATTTATGTTCTAGCTGCAAGACACTCTTTAGTGTCCTTTTCTCATGTCTGTTAACTTTGAATACTCATGTGCATCCTCCAAATGCCACCAATAACATGCAAGGCTCTCTAGGCCAAAGCTCCATGCTCCTTAATGTAATGCTGTTAACACCTTCTTGATTTTAGCTGTGACTTGGTGACACTTACCAGAGTGGGTCCTGAGGTGTCCTGTGAGAGCGTCCCTTCTTCTACAAGCATAGCTACAGAAAGGACATTTGAACGGCTTCTCTCCAGAGTGTAACTTTATATGTCTCAGAAGGTTGCCCTTCTGGGTGAAAGAAGCTCCGCACTGGTTACAGTGGAAGGGGCGCTCACCTGGAGACAGAGTGGGAAAGACCAAGCAGGTTATTGCGAGAGAATGATGTGCCGTCCAGTTAACCACAGACAATTCCCTAGGCTCACAATAATCATTGTCTACATACATCAAACCTTCACTTTCTCCTACAAGATCTGTCTGCTAGTAATAACTTCTCAAACTTCAGGTCAAGCAGTCAGTTTCCTCATTTAGTACAACCTTGACAAGATTCCTGTCACTGGATGAGAGTAGCAAAAATAGTATGTACCAGTGGTTCAACAGCTTGCTGTCACCACTTAGCTGGCCATTGCCTTCCATAGAGTACATTAATCCTCACATCCTGCTAATACTTAGGAAGTATTGATTTAAATTAAGGAATGTATGTCTTTTTTAGGGTCCTCTCTGTTTCCCAGTCTCTCTGGCAGTGTGGATTGTAGGCCAGCACTCCCCTGCTCCATGTCTAAAATCCATATATGAGTGAGTACATACAGAAGTCAACAATGGCAAAGTATCTGATAATACTGACACTAAGATCTGAACCAAAATAGGCATAAACATAAATAAACCTTCAAAGCCCACAGAGGAAATCTCTGGACAGAGAAAAAGGACTCCTGGTCTCTTGACCAACAACAATAAAACATTTGCCAAAAATCCCCAGTATACTTGAGAGAATCCAAAGAATATTATATTTCAAGATACCTTCTTTATGTCATTTTGTGGAAAACATTTGTTTAACAGGATTGTTTTCCCATGGTTTTCTATCAGTGAAACCATTAAAAAAATACGTAAGCCTGAATTTTCAGGTTTGTCTATTACCCTCAGCTGGTTGGTAGTCACCAATGCCATCAAAGGTAACAAAATCCATATAGGCAAGAAGTCAGTAACACTGGCAAAATCAATGGATAACATTATCAAACCAGGAGGGAAATCCTCTTACTTTTCATTTGCCTGTCTCTAAATGCAGATGAAATAAACGACAAACTGACATAAACACATGGTAAAAATACCTCACCCTAAAGCTCAAAGTTTAGACAGAAACCAAAATTAACCACTTCTTAAAGTTTAAAGGAAACTTTTCTGTATTTGTTACACTATAGGTATATTTTTCACAGTTTTCATAATTTGTACACTGGATTACCATGCTCATGTATCTTTAGCTAGAATATTTATATTAACAGTGAAGTGAACCTCCAAATATACTTGGCCCATTGTATAATGCAAACCCATGGTTTCTCTATTTTAAAAAGCTAGGATGCAAAAAACAAAACAAAACAAAATAAAAAAAAACAGATAAGCTTTGATAATTTTCTGGCAGGAACCAGAAATGTATATTCTGTCATACAGTTTTGCTACAAAACCTAAAGAATTTAAAACCAGGTAAGATCAAGCTCATACTAGATTCTACAGCATGTATTCTTGTGGAAAGTTAATGATGTACATACCAAAAGGCTTGTGTATGGTGATTTTTGTTTGTTTTGTCTTTTCTCTTAAAACATGGAGCTTTTGAAGCTAAGTTACAAAAGGTCCTAAAAATAGATATTATACTAAAAACTAAGCATAGTAAGGTTAGCCTACACTGAATTATATTTAACTAGTTTGATTTGTTGAAATCTAAAATGCTTCAAAGAAACCTTATGACTTAGTTTTAAACTCTAATTCTGGCTGTGGGCGGTGGTACACACTTTAAAGTCCAGCTCTTAGGAGGCTGAACTGGTGTATCTTCTAGAGTTCAAGGCCAGTCAGGTTTACATAGTGAGACCCTGTCTCCAAAATCTAATTCAGTATTCTGTGTTGTTTGTTGAGATGGGTCTTGCAGTGTAGAGAATGTTGAACGCATGGTTTTCTTGCCTTACAGGGTCCAAGCACTTGTTTTTGAGTAGATGCTGCAATGCAGGTCTTTTAAACCTAAGTTTTTAAGATCTTTTAAAATTTTATACACAAACACAATGTAGCTTTGAGATTTTGAAATTTTTTTCTCCAAGGAAATAACAGAGTGCAACTTTAAAATCATAATTATCTGCTCTCCACCCTGACATGGAATTTCAATAAAAGGAAAGACAGGGATGATACTTCTACAACACAGCTTTGTGAATAAAGAAAACAGCAAACAGGGAATTGTACTTTTTACTTCAACTATTTGATTTTACCCTTGGACTCTTTCTGCATAAGCTTTTCCTAGGAAAGGGACAAATTGGGACACAATAACTTTAAAAAGAAGTTAAATCAGGAGGTCTGTTAAAAGTTTTGAAATAATGTTTGCTTTTGCAGCAAGCTGATTTACACTGTCTTTAAATCATTTACGATCTTCATCAATGGTTTTAATCCCTACATTAAAGTAGCTAATTCAGTATCCAAAAAATAATGCTAGCCTGGAAAGGAAGCAATACTAAAGGGGAACCCTTTTTAAAAAGAATTTTACGGCAATCTAATCAAGTTTTGTGAAACTAATGAGGGAGCAACTTAGTGATAACATCTACAAAATGCTCCAGGTGCCTTTGGCGCTTTTTACTAAGAACACCTCAGAGAGGGGAAGACAATGAAAGGGACTCCGTGTACATCTCCCTGTATGGCTCTGTTGCTGGGTGTACAGGGAGGTCTCTTGTCCACATCCATGAGAAGTAAAGAACAAGGCAAGGTGTGCTATAAGCTGTAGCTCCCTTCTGATAATAGAAGAGGCTTTAGCACAAGCTTCTCCAGTTTCGCCCAGATGAAGCTTTGAGTAACACTGGCGGGAATTACTACTACTTCTCCACTGATGCTCTTTACCCCTCAGCTGTCAGTTCCAGGCTTTACTCATTTTAGTATGCAATCTGTCTAACTATGTGTAGTCCCTTGATTATAAAGAACTTGCTAACACTCTGAGGACACAGTTGTTTTGCTGCATTCAACACTGAAGTTACAATTAGAGTGATACTCTCAATAACACTACTATTAGAGAAGATGATAAACCAGGCTAACTGTTCTTTGTATATATAATTAATTTTAGGAAGACTTCAGTACAGTATATATACATATTATGCATGTATATGTTTTCATAATTAATAAGAAATAATCAACTGAATTTTTAAATTCTGTAAAATATTAGGAATCATGATAAATATGCAATGTTGTAGAATATTTCCCAGCCTAGACATTATAAAGGCAGAATTATCTTGAATTTAGATTTAAAAATTACCTACCTTTTCGGTAGAAAGGTAAAACAATGATATATTGTCAAGAAGGCTTTAAACAATGCATATTTATTTTAATTTGTTCTTTAAACCAAATGGAGAATCACTTGGCTCTTTTTGAGTTGGTTTTTAATTTATATAAAAGTAACATGTTCTTTGTGCACAAGTGAAAACAAAAGTTTTAAAATCCCCACAGATTCCTTGCTTACAGTACTAACATTGCAGAGCAATGGTTACTGTGTTCGTTACAACTGATTAGCCCATTAGTGGGAACTGAAGACTGGACTAACAATAAAGAAAATTAACTGAGATGTGGTCATGGGATTCCAAAGGTGGTTATGGGTTTTGTTTGTTTGTTTGTTTCATGGTGTTTGGATGCAACGTCTTAGCAAGCTCCGCTGGCCTTGAGCTTATTCTGTGCAGAGACTGGCCTCAAACTGCTGCTCTTTCCTGCTTCCACTTCCTGGGATTTCAGGTGTGCTCCATCATGCTAAGCCAGTATGTGCTTTAAATGACAGTCCATTAATTTACTGGTTGTCTAAATTAGTTTATGCATCATTTTTATTGTGGAAAGTGACATTTATATAATTTCATAAACACATCCAAAATGTGTTAAGTATTCAAATGACATGCAAATTCACAGAGACCAGTTTGCTTTTGTGACTCAAAGACAAGATGGTGCACCTGTGTTGGGTTGGAAAACCAACAACAAACAACAGAGAGCCTTGGAACACAAGACTGGCTAGAAAATGCTGTAATTTACAAAGATAAGAGAGCTATACCCCAAAGAGGAACAAGCTTAAGGATTGTCTACATTTATAATTTTATCATACAGTCATGTTCACATGGGGATTAAATAACTACCCTTTTTTATTTGTTTGTTTGTTTTTCTGTGCCCTATTTTCCCATTGAAGAGTGCCAGGAGTATCTGATGAAAATATTACCTGATTATTTACTAAAGTAGCAATGCCAAAGAAGTAACAGCAGGCCACTAAAAGACACTGGAATTGGCACTTTAGCAGAGTACAAAAGAGAAAGAAGAAAGGAACCTTAGATCTGATACCCCATGTAATTGGAATAAATTGGATGGCTTCACACTTTCTTATTCATTGTCAATTGTATAGTAGATAATTTATGCGCTTCCCAAGGGCCTCACAAAGGATTTAAGGTAGTGGCTTCTCTTTAGCTTTTGTTTTAAGAAGCTCTATAATGAAGACAGTAGTCCCTAATATTAGAGAACAAACACTTGGTTAAAGACTACATTCTAACTATATTTCTATGTCTACTTTAAAGAAACACAAAGAAGTCCGTCATCAAACAGTATTACAGTAGAGTTGAGAATATGACAACTGCGATCAACTAAGTCATCAGAAATATATATAGTTAAGGCCTATTTTAAGATGCCATATTTAACAGAGGGCTACAGTATGCTAAGTTTCTCTATGAATATCTATTGAAATTAACAAAAGTCTCCAAGATCCGAAGAAGGAATTCTAGTTTTCAAAATAGGTCAGTAAGGCAAAGGAGTTTGTGCTACCTAGTGAAATTCAGACGGTTGCTTTTTTTTTCATTGCCCATACTAGTGAATGTCATATTCTGTGACCTGTGCAAATCTGTGTACTATTTTATAAACAAGTCCTATACCAATTATATCATTTTCAGTTTTTAAATATTTCCATTCCACTTTTATAGCAAATATGTAGTGGAAAGTGGAGTAGGCATTTAACTATTTTATTTTTAAAAATTAGCAAATTTTAGCCGGGCATTGGTGGTGCATGCCTTTAATCCCAGCACTTGGGAGGCAGAGGCAGGCGGATCTCTGTGAGTTTGAGGCCAGGCTGGACTGACAGTCTCCAAAACAATACAGAGAAACCCTGTCTCATAAAACCAAAAAAAATTAGCAAATTTTACAACAGATACAATAAAATACAAATAAAAACTAAGTCTTTTAAGAAACAGTTCTCATGTTCTTTAAGATTTATTAAAAACTCTACGATACTACTGTTTTCTATCCAGCCCAAAGCTCACTTTCTTCAGATATTTGTTCAAATGTTGCCTTCTCAGCAAGGCCTTCCTTGCCCAACCAAGTTACAATGGAAAATCTGAACTTCTTATTCCCCCCCCTCTGCTTAATGTCTACTTCCTCACTCTGCTGTTTGTAAGACAGGGGTTTTGTGTACTAACAACTGCTATATCTAACACCCAGAAAGTTGTAAATGTTAAAGAAATACACGAAAGCACTTGAAGCGTCGTTAAAAAACATATTAAAAATCTTCTCAAACTAGTATTTACTATAAACTTTAGTCTTAAAATTATCAGTAAATAAAATTCAACTGCAAAGTAATTGAATTGTTTTAATATTCCAAAAGAAAAAGTTATTCATTAAATGGGTGTTACGTTCTTCAGGACACTCACTCAAACATAACAAATGTAGCTTTGTAAACTCCTTTCCAAGCCAGTATTATTTCATGGGCATGGAATAAAAGTAGATTAATTTTATAGTCCCATCTTTTTTTTCTTATGCAATAGAAACCAAAGCTTGGTATATCATAAATTTTTCCAAGGCACTTAAAATATTAATTAAATAAAATACAATTCAATAGTGATATAACCATTTTAAAACATGACATTCTTTTAAAAGAATATTCATAACAAAGCAAAAATACTAATTGCTATAGTTGTAAAAATACACACATTGTAAAGCGGTTGATATGATTACATTAATCTGAATGTGGAAATTCTATTGTAATTTTAAAAATATTAGCTTTAGTTTAAGTGACACTTTACAATAAGTTGCTGTATAGTAATAGGCCAAGGGTGTGTGTTCCAACTAAGCTAGTCTAGAAATCAGAATACCATGGTTCCAGCCTCACTGGTAACATTTTGTAGGTAAGGGACACAAGTCAGACAACCTGATTTTCTTCAAGTGTATTATCATGAAAGTTCTGAACTAAAAATAATTTAGTGTATAATTACAGCACATGTTTTAGGATAAAACTTTAAAGTTGATTATTTAGAAGTAAAATTTTAAAATAAATTTCTCTCATGTGATTTCTCATTCATTCAAAAGACTATCATATTTTAAAAGTGAAAATATTAATTATTAATGTTTTACAAGGGAATACTATCATGTTTTAGTAAAGGATATATTCCTCTAATATTTTCTTTATTTTTTAGAAAGGGTCTCACTATGTAGCCTTGGCTAGTCTGGGACTTACTATGTAGATCAGGTTGGTCTTGAATTCACAGAGAACCTCCTGTCTCTGACATCCAAATGCTGGAGCTAAAGGTGTGTACGAACACACCAGACTTGAAAATTTTTGTTGTTGTTTAGTTTGGAGACAGTCTCATGTAGTACAGGCTGGCTTCAAACTTTATATAAAGTTAGGATGACCTTAAACTTCTGACCAACCTGTCTCCAATTGCCAGAAACTGGGATTATAGGTACATGCCACCATGCCCTGCACAACTTAAAATTTCATAAAAGATTGACTATTATTCCTTAAAACACACACACACACACACACACACACACACACCTTTATTGCATTGAGTTTATCCACTCTATCTGTCCTTCCTTCCTTCCTTTCTTCCTATTCTACCTTCTTTCTTTCCTCCTCCTCTCAATCTAAAGCTTTGAACAAATTTCTATAACATTCTCCCCTCCTCATCTGATATGTTTTTATGAAGTACTTGTATTTCTCAATGCCTAAAAGCATATATTAAGTTATCCACAGGCATTTCCTCACCTAATTCCACAATTACACATTCCTACCAACATACCTGCCATCCTTTGTCATGGCTAAGCCTAACCATCTTTATCCAGAGTTAAAAGTAAAAATTATAGGAAGATGGTAACATCCTTGAACTAGAGAAAGTACCCCCACTACAGAGACCTTTGATAGATAAAGACTGACCAGAAACAATATTTCAAGGACTTAACCAAAGAGAAAATGGTTCATCCCTATATACAAGTGTGAGTGCTATCTTGTAGTATAAGGTTCTAGGAGGCAAACTATATTACATGCCCATGGGTATGGTAAAATATGTATACAAATATAAAAAGATTAAATTACTCAATGAAATTCTCCTATACCTTTTGAACCCTTATCATATTATTGCTATATTAAGACTGTGGAAACTGAATCCCACACTTCTTTTCTGACATGCTATTCAGATTTGAAGGCTGGAAGTCAAGACCCAGGCTACTTTCTGCTTCCCAGCAATCCAATACTAGCAGAATTCTGAAAAGGTAACTTCACATTGCCACCCCTGAATAAAAAGGAAAGAGAGTAGATGTCAGGTAATATCAACATCAGATGCCATGGGCAGTCATCAGGTTATTCGTTCAGCTGCTTACCAGTGTGACTCCTTTTATGTACCATAAGCACATTGGGCCCAATGCAAACCATGCCACAGACGTCACATTTCAGTTTACCATTCGGAAGCCGGATTCCTCCCTCGCCTTGAAGATCCTGGACTTTCCTGTTGTCAGCCACCTCGCTGCTCTCAATTAGGGGTTCTTCTAGGCTGCTCCCCTCATCATGGCCCCTGATCTCATCTTCGCGGCTCAGGGGTTTCCTGTCACACTCTTCATCACTCTGCATTTCTAGCTTTACGGAATTTGCTGTAATTGAAAAGGAATTGAAGACACCTGTTATGTGCTGTAAGCTCCATTTCTTTCCTGCCCGTTGTCACTCTATGGAACGGGTGAGGAAGGATAGACTAAGACACCACTGTGTTCCATGCTCTTCTAGGGGGTGAGCCTTCGGTGAGATGGAAGACAGCTCAGGGGCACTCGAGGGGAACAAAGGGCCCTTCATGTCCACATCTATTCGTTTATTCCACTCAGCTCTGTTGCTTTTATGCAAGCCATGATCTAGTTCTTATATTGTTTTAAAGTCTGTCACTAGGGTTAGTATGAATGGAAAGCATGTGTGGAAGACACAAGGTTAAATATTGCTTAACCCACTAAGCCACGCCTCCTCTTAACAATCATGTTTATGTCACATTCCCTACTTCACATCAGAGTACTTGTGTCAACCTGCTCCCGCACAGAGCAAGAGAAACAACTCAAGATCTTAATCCCACAAATGTCTGTCACATAGGAAAGTACACTGTCAGGGCAAATGTCCCCAAGTCAGACTAAACACAAACATTCAGTTGAGACCTGTATCAATGGGAGGCAGAGTGCATAAACCTTGCCATCTTAAATTACTCTGCTTTTGTTTCCTACATACAACAGAAATAGTCCTCTATGGAACAAACTGGCTTGTAAACCAAAGTGCGCGAACACTGACCTCTATAAAGCAACAAGCAGCTAGTGACAGGAATGGCACTGCATGCATGTACATACTTGCGACAGTAAAGAAATGTAATGCCTTCTGTTTGCTGTTTTTGGATCACCCCACAGAAAAGGTGGAATTCTGTTAGCCCAGCCCTTGATCTAAATGGCTCAGTCTTTTGACAAAGTAGGGGCAGGCTTTAAGTTAACACCAGGTTTTTGTTCCTTGATCTTGAAGAATTCATACTGAAGCTATTCGACATAACAAACTGGTTGGTTACTACCTGGTACATAGGAAATGAGTTTGCCAAGTCAAGTATGCTCTTTTTACTGCAGTTGCTTTCCTGAAGAAGTCATGTATCCTTGACTCATCACTAGTGCTTATCAGGACAGGGTGCCAGCATACGGCTTTCCCTGTCCCTCTCTAGAGATCTCTAATCAGAGGCAGTGAGCTAAGCAGTGTCAGTGGCATAATCCTAAACTAATTACTTAACCTATGAATCATGCATTTAAAAAGTGGCAATGAATTCAAATTGCTGAATAAGGTTTGGGTAGAACCGTTTGGTGAGAGTGGAGATACTTACATTCTTCAATTATTAAGCATCTTCAAGAACTTAGCATTTCTCCCTGCCCTTAGTACAATGGAGATGATAACGTCCCCAATTTGCAGGATTAATCTGAGCATTAAGTGGGTAAACTCAGTAAACGTGCTTCTCTCTTTTTTAAGATTAATTAACTTATACAATGCAAACTGCTGTATAATCCACAAAGGGACAGCCACTCTTACTGAGTCTAGCAATTTAGAAACAGATATGATACTACTGGTTTTTGAGAGGAGAAGGGACAGTATTCTGCTCAACAGTATATCTTCCTTCCCCCAGTATGCTCACAGACCTTGTGATGTACAGATGTTCAGACAGTATTAATTTATTAGTTTAAAATCATTATGTGTTATATATATATATATTCCTCCAACCCTGTCTTATATGTTATAGATTCCACGCCATTGTAAAGAAAGACACAACAATATAAAGGATTGAATTGTGAAAATTAAGTCAATTTTAGCAAATGCTCAGAATCCCTCAGTCTCTGTCTCTAAAGAAACCATGATCATAATGCCCCCATTTAGAAGTCTCTCTGAATCCATTTAAAATGCAAAATAAATTATATATCCACGCTAGCAGCAGATTTATCATCATCCGCTCTTTGTTGCTATTACATATATAGATATTCTCACAGAACGATCAGTGTGAAAAGTCCTGTATTTCTACACGCATTTACAATTATGAGTTAAGTTTGCTGCTATAAATTTAAATAGTCTTTCTGAAAACTGTTTATCAACATTATTTGCCCATTTTTTTCTATCAGGTTGTCAAACTTTCTCACTGAGTATAAATGTTTTTTTTGTTCTGAAAATCAAAACCCAAAATTTTCTAGTATTTAAAAGAATTTTTAATGTGATTTTTGATGTGACACCACAAGCAGAATATCCCACAACCAACAACACAAGACAGTCTGTGGTCAACAGGGGAACATGTTAGAAATACTGTATAGAGCTGCTTCTGTTAAGATTTCAGATCTCTTCCCAAGATACCTCATTATGTATATATAAATATTCCAAATCTGACAAAAATATAATCTATTAGGAAAACTTATCCCCAGCATTTCCTCACAGCCTATTCCCCATTCATTACCCAGGAACTTGATCCTACACTGCTGATGTATTTTGCAAATATTTTGGCTTTCCATTTTATTCATGAACTAGCTACTGTTTGATAAGCCATGTTTAATCAGCGTAATGCTAGCCAGAGCTCCTCTTCAGAACTCAAGAAGGTGCAGATTGTCAGCATGAAAGTACAGGCCTCTCAAATATCAAAATAGGACAGAATTTTAAAAGAAAAACTGGCTTGATTTTAAACATCAGATTATCTTTTTTCCTTAGAGAGAGGACATTAAAATGAGGACATGGGCAAATGTCATTAAAAAACGAAACAAAACACTGTCAGATTAAAATATGCTCCCCAGGAACTATTCTCCCTAGAAGACTAAATTGTATGCAAACCCTGGGGAAGCATTCATTTTTACTGTAACTGAAACAGAAAAAAATTATGAAGTTATAGTATAGGATTTATATCAATGCTATAAGAAAGCATGTGTAAATTTGTGTCCCATTGCTGTCCTTATACAGTAAACTAGTAAAATGTAACCTGTGTCAATATACACATCATAGACTAAACTACACCCCAAATGGTAGCCCACATACAAAAATAAGTCTCATAATAATTCATTTCTGATATCTGAGTATACAGTCAAGTTGAAACTGTATGTTAAAGAAGTAGGAAATTAAATAAAATGGCCTTTAAATCCTAACCACTAAACAGAAACCTTTACTAGCTCAAAAAAAAACTATGTGACTTATTTTCAATATAAGATGTTTCTAATCATGACAGAGTGCCTATGTTTTAAGTATTTAATGATAAAATTCAAGTGTTAGGAAAAAAAGCATGAGTCCAAATTTCCACATTAAGAAAGAGTTGACTCTCACTATTTAAATAATAATGAGCCTAATACAACTATCAATCACTAAATATAATATTAATATAACATTAGTTTCCAGTTTTTGGAATTAGAGTTTTAACCTTCACTACATGGACTTAATTTTACAATGTGGTCTAGGAATATGCTCTTCATAAGTCTGAAGCTAATTTCATTCTATGTAAGCCTGATGTGTTCTTCCATATTGTGTAAGTCAAAGCTATAAAGGAGCTCTTTTGGAAAAATTGACTTCTCAGCCAAACAATCTTCTAAGACTCTTCAGTAAGCATACTGGGCTAACAACATTCAGGAGCTGCACCATACTGGGCTACCTATACTCAGAAGCTTCAAAATCATAATTGAATCTAGATATATAACAAGAGTCAGAGGTCCACACTATACTTGTCTCTCATTCATTAGTGAGACATTAAGGAGAACACTGAATGAAAGTGTATGTACAGGTAAACAGATTATTATAACACACACACATACATATACACACAAACAATAGCATTTAAAAACAAATTGCAAAATGACATTAGTAACAGCTCCACAGCTGTTAAGAAATTAATTCAATTTTATGTATGTAACAATGAAATTTTACTTTCTACCATAGTTTTGCTAAAATAAAAGCAGATCAGTTGATGAGAAAAAAATAGAAAGCAAAATGTGAGACAGTTTTGTATCCACACATGAATGTAACACTCACATTAACCATTTCCCTCACATAGCAAGAAACAAACACAGACTTTTCTTTAGAAGTTGGGCTTTTGTTTGATTTTTGAGAAAGAACTTAAAATTGGGTGAATGGGGAAGGGGAGAGGAAGGAATTGGAGGAGTGGGAGAATATGATAGAATATATAAATATTTTAAATGTGAAAACTGTTCTAAGTAACAAAATATGATGATGATGATGATGATAATAATAATAATAATAATAATGACACTACTACTACTACTACTACTAATAATAATAATAAACTCATAGAACCGAGGCCAGGAGTATAACTCAAGCCAAGTGCTTGCTGAGCAGACACAGAGACCTAGCTTAGGTGCCTAAACATACTAAAATACTTGCTTCTGATTATATTTTGTTTAACATTTATTGGAGATTGGTGACTAATAATAAAACAAAGCACATTTATTTAATAAGAAACTTCTATTAACAAGGCAGTATGCACATAAAAAGAGGTCATGAAGGAGTTCCTGCCTAAAAACAGTAGATATTTCACTAATATCATCTACTTACACACAAATTTACAGAATGAAATAGTACAAGGGTTAAGGAGAGTTTCCTTCAGACATTTTGGATACACTGAATATTTTGTTATATATCCATAATGCAGATTTCACCCAAGTACCCATCTTTGTAAGACAGGAGGAGACCGTGGCATCTCTGGTGACTGATTCCTTCAAGAAATATGAAATAATTAAAAAGTTTTAACAAGTTTTTATATGCGTGATGTAATATGTGAAGCTAATTTTGAAAGGATAAATTTTGCTTTCCATAAAATAGAATTTGGTCTTCAAAAATAATCTCATTACATTATAGTTGAAAAGCTGTGGAAATACCATAGCAACCAGAACTGGAAGTGTAATTATCAAAATATTTTGATTATATTAACTTTCTACAAATTAAAACTTATTACTAGTATGACCTGATTCTACTAACCCACAAGCAGATTAGTTAGGCTTCCCGTGTGCGAAAAAATACAGGGGGCTTGTGATTTGTTTCCTACATTTGTAAGGGTGTGTAGATTAATCATGTACAGTATAGAACAAATTTCCAAGATTATTTTCTGTCAAAT